AAATCTCCAAAAAAATATACATATATGTGTATACACACACACACACACACACACACACACACACACACATATATATATATATATATTTAAATGGTGGTATTTAATTGACATAAGATGGAAAAAATACTACAATGTTCATTCACCCATTCGTCCCTTTGCTCTTTCCGTCATTCAATCGACACCTGGAAAGGCAATGGTTATTTAGACATGGTCTCACTATACTTGAAAGAAACTATGAGTAAACAGGCCAGGCTGGGGCAGGAAGGGATGTGGGAGAGAGAGAGGCACCAGGTAGTTCTATTGTAAAAGAACTAGAAAGAGGTCCATTGCTGCTTTCTGGATGTGGGAGTCTTCCAGGAGAAGACAGTGCGGGAGTTGAGCCCCAATGTATGAACAGGAGTTAGCCAAGAGAGTGGGATACAGTAGTTCAGACAGCAAAATCTGTAGGTCAGTCCATAGAAGTGGATTAATAATTAACTGCCACTCCCTCCTGGAAACCCACGTTAGTTGTATTATCTTAGGTCTCTTTGTTTTCAGCCTTGAAAAGTGTCTCAGAAAAGGTAGCCAGGGGTAGAGTGGAGGGCACAGACTTTGGAATGGTCACCTGTAGATACTGGGATCATGGGTATTTTTTCTGTATCATTTCTGTAGGTTTGTGATTTGTCATTGATGGAATTATGTTCTATGTCTGTAAATTATTTTCTATCATGTCTATTGCTTATTTTTATAAAATACTTTCCTCATGCCCTGTGTTTTTCAATCCCTCACAATTACAAAATTATCCTTTGAAAACTGACTCCACCATTTCTGGTATGCTTCTTGGTCAGTTACTTATACTCTCTAATCCCTATTTCCTCATTTATAAGACAGGGTGCGCATCATACATGCAACATGTGAAAGATAAATTCCATAGTCAAGGTCCCAAAACCAGATGGTTACATGTGCAGAGGGGAAAGGTAAGCACATGAGTTCCAGAGAAACATGGCCTCAGTTATTTTAACAATTAGCACATGTCTATTGATAACTGACTTACGTTTTGTGAACAATACTTTTCTCTCCTGCCAACTGAGAACAATCATGCCAAACTCACAATTATTGAAGAGTTAAGAGTACAGATATGAAAAGTCTAGCACAGTATCTCATCTAGCAGACGAGGAATAAGTATCAGTTTCTGGTCTGTGCCTCTACATGTGCACAAAGACCTTGACTGGAAACATCGACTCCAGTCCTGTGGGCCTTTCTCTGTTTCCAATATCAAAGGGGCACTAGCGCACAGATGCTCCACTAGACACAGAGGGTCACTAATACTTCCGATGAAGGGTAGGTAGTTAGGACACGTCACCTGCTGAGATGCCATCCCACACCAGGGGCTAACAATTCTAGAGATGTGACTCTAGGAAGACAGAACATGTGAAACAGAGAGTTCTACAGGAAGAGATTCAGCCTTTTGACTCATTCAGTAGTCTGGCCTTCATTATTCTTTCATTGTTTCTTGAAAAACCTCAAGGACTATTTCTTTTTTGAGAGGTTTTTGCTATAGGGCACGTGCTCTCGCCAGACAGACAGAGACAGAGAGACAGAAAGTGAGAAATCAGCCTCC